TGTACTGAAAACATTTCCAATGGAACCTAAACATGCTAAACAAATGGAATGACATCATGTTCATAATAGACTTAATAAGGTAAAATGACAATTCGTCCCAAGTTGAACCAACACATTTAGTGCAATGTCAATCAAAATTCAAAAAGTTTTGTAAGTTGATTCTTAAACTTACATGGACCAGTGAAAGACCATTATATAGGGACCCAACCAAAAACAAGACAGTAGGGTTTGCCTTGCCAAATGCCAAGACTTCTTGTAAAGCACTGAATGTTAAGTTCATGTGCTCCTGGAAAAGAGACAGACAAATTGCCAAAGAAGAAGCAAAATATCACATATATGGAAAATATCTGACAGAAAGGATAGTGCATACCACCTAAGGAAAAAAAAGTCATTTGATAATGCTGCAACATTTGAGAAGGAAAAAGAAATTGGATCCCTACTGTCTAATATTTTAAAAAAAAAAATTCAAGGGGATTAAAGTTTTAAAAAGGAAAGAATCTGTTCATCTTTTAAAACTAAAATGTAAAAGAATATGGACTTTGTGTAGAGAAAATTTTCTTAGGACATATTTAACTACAAACCATAAGATTAATAAAATCAACTGAATTAACATTAAACATTTCCATTCATCAACAAATACAATAAAAGGTAATGAAAAGGTAAACTACAACACTACAAAACACACAGGCGAGAAACAGTATCTTGTATATGTTTGTGTGTGTACGTATCTTAAACATTTTACTTAAAAATGGATAAGATATAGAGAAAGTAACCTTAACAAGAAATATAAAAGCTCAAAGAGGATGGGTTAAGTGTCCATGGTAGAATGCAAGAAATGGTTTGGTATGGGAACTTAAAGCCCAAGTTCTAATTCTGTACTATACATTCAGAATTATGTATTTTAAAATATTTTTAAATTTAAAAAATATAAAATGTAAGTCTTCCATTTATATATACAGTATTGATTGAATAGTTTTAAGGACACAATGGAGAAAAGACATGACAACATTTCACAAAAGATTACATCAGTGGTAAATAATCACATGAAAAGATGTTCAACCTCATTAGCAATAACAGAAAAGCAAATTATAATCACAAAAAGATGCCATTTGTACCCACTAAATTGAGAAAAGTTAAGAAGTTTGACAATTACAAGATCTGGCAATTATGTGACTATATGGGAACTTCTGATATATTACCAGTGGAATGTAAATTGGTCCAATGACTTTGGAAAACAATTTAGGATTATCTTATATAGCTGAATATTCTCTACACTTCTACTGTTGGATATATATCCTAGAGTTGCATGAGGCCACATATAAAAGAATGTTGACTTCAGTAATGCTTTGTAATATCTGCTTTAATACATATAGGAATATAAGTACATCATATATGTTTGTGAGAGGGTGTCTAAATACCTCTATATACACATATTAAAAATAAAATAAGCAGTGTCCAGGCATGGTGGCACACACTGTAACTCCAAGTAATCAGGAGGTGAACACAGGAGGATATCAGGTTCCAGGCAGCAGGGTCAAGTTAGGGAGAACCTACCTCAAAATTAAAACTAAAAATTAAAGGGCTGGGGGCTTGTCAATGGAAGTCATAATCTCGTGAGAATGATACAAAAATCCACACGACATATGGCTGCTATTAATTAAAAACTGAAAATAAACATATGACCAAAACAAAGGCATTCTAACTGTATTATCTGACAGAACCATGCTCCAAATTACTATATGCCCAATTATGCTCACTCAAAGGAAAGAAGAAAAGAAAGGAGGAAGAGAAAACTGGATGGCAATGAGAGAGAAGGGAAGGTCCCAAGACCTTCTCTCAGGAGATGATAAATTAAACTAAAGCAAAATAGACAATTACGTTCCCTTTGCATGCATACTCACTCTAGAAGGCACTTAGTGCACACTACATTCATTTAAGATATTCTCCTTCATCCTACAAGTAATCCTAGATTGGAGGTGGGGTGCAGGAGGAGTGGGTGAATGATGGTTGGAATCAAAGAGTTTTGGTTTTTGATGCAAAACTAAACTTTTATTCAATAACAAAGTCAAAACTTTATTTAAACCTAGAACTCTTCAAGTTCTCAGCACAACAACCTAACATGTCACTATGACTCATCATAAAAGATCCTATACTATCAAGTGACTTACTTTAGACATACTGGGACCCAAATAGAAGTTTGTTTGTTTGTTTTTCAAAAATTTACTTTGGGAGAAACTTTAATTCTATACTTAACATCTGTAATTATGGTAACCAGTTATCAAGACTTTTACTAACTCTCACTTTTGAAAAATTATTTGGATGAATTATGGCTCAAAAATATTTAAGGTCAGAGAAAAAGAGACATCTCCTTTAAAATTTTCCCATCTTATTCTCTAATAATAAAACAAAAGTAAGAACTACTCTGTTGACACAGCTTCAAAACAGTCATTAAATCAAATGTAACTGAGGACTGGTGAGTCCAGAGAGGATGCCTTAGCACCTTCAGGCTGACTCTGTATGAATCTTAGGTATAATCTCTCCTTTGCTCCTTCTCTAGGCATTAAATATACAGAACAACAAGCAGAAGGACCAACAGGATTAAAAGTCTAAAGCTACCAAATGACCAAAAAATGGATGTGATGTAAAAATTTGCTCTTATAAAATATAAATTAGAATAATTGGAATACTAGAAATTCAGGAGTGGTGCTTTAAATATTGAGTCATAGGGAAAGCTGAAAATTAAAATTATCACTCCAAAGTACTTTATGTAAGTCAAATGGATAAGTGCTATTTAAAAATGAAAATAAATATTTAATCCCCAAACTCTAACATTAATCATTACATCAAAAAAATTTCAGAACTAGTCTGAGCATGGTGGCTCATGCATAATTCCAGCTACTCAGGAGGCCAAGATAGGGACAACTGTGGTCCAAGGGCTAGCCTGGGCAAAAAAGGTAGTGAGATGTCATCTCAATCAATAAGTCAGGCATCACGGTGTATGCCTGTGGTTCCAGTTATGTGGGAGGCCTAGGTAGGAGGATCTCCAACTGAGGCTATCTCCAGGAAAAAGACCATACCTGAAAAATAACTAAACCAGAAAGGATTGGGAAGTAGCTCAAGTGGTAGAGCATCTGCCTAGCAAGCGTGAGGCCCTGAATTCAAACCCCAGAAGCACAAAAAAAAAAAACCAAAAACCAGAACTATACTCCCCATAAGTAATGAAGCCCATGTCAAAAAGGAAAAATAAAAATAGTTAACACTGTGCACTATGTGCCAGGGAACAGCATTGTGCATTAGACTTTTCAAAAGAGCCCTATGACGCTTTCCTCACATTGAGTATTAGAGAGGTAAGGTGATTTGCTTGAAGTCAACTATCAATAAGAAAATGGCAGAGTTCAGGTTTATACTTAGACTGTTTGGTTCTGTTCAAAATCATTACAACAGTGTCTTAGTCCTTGTCAACCTAAATCTATCTATTGGTAAACACTGCTTTGACTCAAATGTGGTATCCTAATTACTTCAAGCAGTCTGAAATATACTTTTTTTACGCTTGTGTATGTGGGAAGAAACCACTTCTATACTCTACTCACTAGGGAATGCAAGTTTGTATGCAACTATCTAGTGGGTTATTCCCAGTTATTATGCTTAGCTGTCACAAATAGGTGCAAGTAAATACCAGCTATTTCCAACAGTGCTAAGTCAAATACTCTCTTAATTGTTATCAATAAAGTAGATTTTATCCAATTTACAGATGAGGCTCAACCAAGTTGAGAGGCTTGCAGATAAGAAGTACATCTCATATTCAAATGCAGGCCAGTTTCTCTGTAACTGTATTTCACAAATATTAACCTATAAAGTCTTGGTCAGCTACGTCCTGATCATTTCATAAGACTGACAGTCTATTTATAAATCATTGGTCAAACATTATGTGCCTAGAGCTATGCTACAGACACAAATATAATCACAAGTCTTTGTAGACCCCACTAGACTTTGAATAAAAATATATTTTTATGTTGGGTTAGCCTCTGGCAATGTCTGCTGGCAAACAGACAAAATACATTGCTTCTTAGTTACTATCAGGGCATAAACACTCTGGATTTTCCTTACTGGAATAAACCTTGTCAAAACTTTTTGCAGGAAAATCTTCGGGACTTTTTAAGTATCGAAAAGCTGAGGAAATATTGATACTTTAAAAATAAATCTTGACTCAGTAAGACTGGCACTGGGCCTTTTATTTTCTTGTAGTCAGCAAAACTATAAACCTATAAAAATTCAAACAGTAGTTAAAGGGCATGCATTTTGAAGTAGTTCCATCTGTGGTGAGTCACTTCCAAATTCATACTTTATACTGAAAAAAATTTTTTTATATTTGGATATGTGGGAAGAAATCACTTTTTAAAACCTGTAACTGTCACACATTGAGAGGAAAAGCAAGTCTATGTGGGATTTTACTAATTGTTTTCCCTGAAAACTTTTTTCCCTGGGGGAAAAATAAGTAAATATTATTACTGACGCTGGCACACCACCTTACTTTATAGTACAAACAAACTCAAAACTGCCATTCTTAAACCTGAACTGATCTAAATCTTTGCAAAAATGAAATGAAGGCCGGTTTAATCACCCAACAAACTTAAGAAGCAAGTGGGTAGGGGGAGGGGAAGAGTAGGAGGAAGTGGGAAACTGGGTCAGTAGGTGGCAGATCTTAATTGATCCAGTCTTGAAAGGAATTAAAATGCCTGGAGAAGGGTTTCTGGCAACTCTTAAAAAGTAGAGACAAAGAGAGAAAAATTGAAAATGTGCAGAAGAAAAGGTTAACATCACATTTAGAAGGATGTGATGTTAAGTAAAACAGTGATTATCCAAAAAGAAATTTACTTCTTTAAAAACATACTCAAATTAGCAATACTGTCAATAACATGGTATCTTTCTGTAATGGTACACTTTCTGTATTTTCTTATTTATTTGACATAATGATCCAACGATGTACATTGTATCCTTACATTACACATCAGGAAACTGAAGCATGGGTTAAATGACTCGCTAAGAGTCTCCATGAAGAGTCAGGGCGCAAATATAAGTCTTCGGATTTTAAGGCCAGCATTCTCCAGAAAACTAAACTGTGGCTGTGATGGTGGATGCTCTCAAGATCTACATAGGAGGTAAAAGAGGAGTACGATCGGCCCTTCGTATCTGTGGGCTCTGCATCCAGAGACTTAACCAACTGTGGTGAACCAAAAATACCTGGAAGAAAGATATGTATGACTCAAATGTATATAGACTTTTTCTCCTGTGTCATTATTCTCCCAACAATACACTGTAACAACTATTCATACAACATTTACATTGTATTAGGTACTGTAAGTATCACAGAGATGACTTAAAACATACGGGAGAATGTGCTGTACATAGCTTCCAAGCACTTACTATGCAACTTACATGTAAGGGACTTAGGCAGCTTGTAGACTTACATGGGAAGCTCTAAAACCAATTCTTCATGGATAACAAGGGACAACTCAGTAGTCACCCATCATCCAAAGTTTCTCTTCCCATGTATTCAGCTTTCTGAAGTCAATTATGGCCCACAAATATTAAATAGAAAATTCCAGAAATAAACAACTCCTAAGTTTTAAGTTGCATGTCACTATGAGTAGCATGATGAAATCTCACTACATCTTCATGAGGTGAACCACCCCCTGTCCCACTCACTGTAGCCAAATCACGATACTTGTGTTCAGTAACACTTCTTTTATTTAGTAATTGTCCAAAGTGCAAGAAAAGTGATGCTGGCCATTTGGATATGCTAAAGAAACCATAAAATGCTCCCTTTAAGTGAAAACATAAAACTCCTCTACTTAATAAAAGAAAAAGTCATATGAACATATGGACAGCAAGAATAAGTCTATGCATGAAATCATAAAGAAGGAAAAATGAATTTGTGTAAGGTTTGCTATAGCATCTCAAACTGTAAAAGTTATGACTACAATACATGGTAAGAGCTTAATTAAGACAGATAAGGCATTAAATCTATATATGTTTATGAAAAAACACAGTATATAAGATATCAGTATTATTAAGAATCCACTGAGGGTCTTGAATGTATCACTTATGAGTATTTGTTTCACACAATTCTGGTATAAATTATCAGCATAATAATCCTCATTTCACTTTAATGTAACCAAAATGAAGAGAGTTTACTCTACAAAGTGGCTTTAAAGCTAAGAAGATAGCATTTTGTGGTCACAAGAGTAAATTTTAATCATATGTGACTTTCCAACAAATGCTATAATTTTATTTTACATATTTTGGCAATACTGGTATTTGAACTCAGATCTCACACTTGCTAGGCAGGTGCCCAGTCAACAAATGCTGTAAGGATGCTTTCCATCCTTAACAGAAACTTAGGGGCACACTTAAATAAAATGGTAACTGGAACTACTATACACTTACATAAAAGAACCATGGAGCTCAGAAGTAAGAATGTCTATTTGATTATTTGAAGTTGTGTTTCAGTAAAGGCCATATAGATTTACACTGTACTTTCAAAGGACTTCCTTAAAACCAATTCCTATTCTAAATTCACAAGAGTATATTTGTCTACTGGGGATTGAACTCTGGGCTTCAGCCCTGTTTGCTTCAATTATTTTTCAGATAAAGTCTCACATTTTTGGCCAGGCTAGCCTAGACCATGATCCTTCTATTTTTGCCTCCTGCAAAACTGGGATTACAGGTTTATAATCCCACAACCACCTCAATGGTTGAGATAGACTCTCCATAACTTTCTGTCTGCACTGACCTCAAACCATCATCCTTTTGATCTCCATTTCCCAAGCAATTGGGATTAGAGGAGTACAACACCACATATGGTCAAGAATTTATCTACTTAATCCTTTAGCTAAACTTAATTTCTCTGCAGTTTCTCTTCAATAGTAGTAACCAGCTCAACTCTGACTGAACATATTCTTAAATCAAACACACTCTTAATTCTGTGATTATATGGTAAACTTTCATAAATGGATAATTCATAATGGTTTGCAATCTTCTTTATAACTAAATTTGAATGTCTGTCTTCATATTTAACTATGATAGTTAATTTTTATTTTGATTTAAAATAACTCTAAATTCCTCAAAATCCAGAGTTTCTAAACATATAATTTATTTTACAGATACAGTAAAATTTAAATTTAACAAACATTTAGGGTTTATTTACAGTCCTAATTTGTTTATTTAAATTTCTTATTTGCTTTTACCTTTCTCTTATACCTGACAGGAGGAAGAAAATGTTATTTGTCAGTAGTGAGTAATATTGAACATAAAGATGGAGTTTTAATTTAGAAGTTCAATACCATAAAAAAAGTATCCTCATCCAATCCTAGAAATTAATACTACTTGACAAACAATTAAGTATAATTGCAAAACTGATTTATGTAATATTTCATATGATATAAACATGACTTTTCAGTCAATAAATATATAATCAAACAGCCTATTTACTACAACCTGAACAAATATATTATTTTATTAATTATATTTATAAACCCTTCCTCCAACTATTTCTATTCCAAGCAAAACAGCTAGCAAACATTTTTTAAAAGGGAAACATAAGACAGAGGAATAAAGCTGGATAGTAAGAAGGAAACCTAGCCATTATGGTTGGATATTACAAATCCCCCTCCCAAAAGGCTCACCTGTTGAAGACTTGGTCCCCACTGGTGGCGTTATTGAGAGATGATTAAATCATGAGGGCACTCCCTTCAGTGGGTTAACCCACTGATGAGTTTCTAGCTGTATGGACTATTGGGAGAAGGGATCTGGTTGGAGGAAGTAGGTTTCATCTAGTCCCTAGACCTTCTCCCAGTCTCTCCAGTTCTGCTTCCTGGCCACTGTGAGGTTAGTAGTTTTGTTCTCCTGCCACCATGGTCTACTCCCTCACCACAGACTCATAAACAATGAAGCCAGCCAGCATGGATTGAAACTTCTAAAACTATAAGCCAAAAGTAATTTTTCCTCCTGGCTGGGTGTGGTGGCTACACCCAGCTACTCGGAAGGTGGAGATCAGAAGAAAAGAGGTTCAATGCCAGCCCAGGCAAAAATTAGCAAGATTCAATTTCAACCAATGAGTTGGAATGGTGGTACTTGCCAGTAATTCCAGCTAATCAAGAAACATCAGTGGGAGGCTCTTGATCTTAGGCTGGCCTGGCCCAGAGGGGCCTATCTTTTTAGGTAGACCCTATCTAAAAAACAACTAAAGCAAAAAAGGCTGGAGGTATGATGGCCCAAATGATAAGAATGACTGCCTAGCAAACACAAGACCCTGAGTTCAAACCCCAGTGTGGCAAAAAAATAGATAAAATAAACAAAAAGAAATCTTTCCTAAATTGTTTTTCTCAGGGATTTTGTCATAGCACTAAATAGTCATCTAATACACTGAACCAACAGAACTTTATTCACCAATGACTTTATCCAAATCAGCAGGTAATCCACATGGGGTCTTTGGGGTATGCTGAGGCTAAATGTTTACATCCCTCCAAATTCATGTATTGAAACCTAACCCCTAATATGGCCATATACTGAGGTGGGTATTTGGGAAGTGATTAAGTCTTAAAAGACACTGACATCATAAATAGGATTAGTACCTTTACAAAAGATACCCCAGGTGCTCTCTTGTACCCTTCTCCCATTAGGTGATAGTGAGACTATGGCCATCTAAGAGGAAGTAGACCCTCAACAGACACTGAATTGCTGTTGCTGCAATCTTGAACTTCTCATAACTTCTACAGTTATGAGAAAAAGAAAAATTCTATTGTTTATAAGCCACCCAATCTATTTTATTATAGCTATCCACATAGACTAAAGTACAAAAGACAAAAACACAAACCAGGTAAGTTTCTCAATTTAACATCTTCTTAACATCTTTCTCTCCATTAATATATTATATATTATTGGGTCTACAAACGGGTCAATTACAAATGTCCATCAATCTAACCACACTGATAATGCAAGAGGGAAGTTAGCCAGTGGATGCTCAGAGGCAGAGCTAAGTGGCCTGGCTTATTAGATCTATGTGTAGACATGAAGACATGGATAGGGACGACTAAGGCTGCCTGGAGGTTTAGTGAACACCTTAAACTGTCATAAATAAACAGGAACTACATGTGCTTCATTTTCTAATCAAGGCATTCTTTAAAATAATTCTATACTTTTGAAGAACAGCCACTGTATTTATATCTGGCTTACACTGCTAAATGCTAGTACCTATGATATAGGTAAAAAGATGATTAAAATAGATAAAACTGGTTTGATATACACCAGATTTTTTAACTACTTACACAGAATTCAGACTTATTAAGACCAAAACATACTCCTATTCTGTGACCAATGTCAAACTAGTTTATCAATAGCTGAAAGTAAATAAATAACACAATATAGCATAGCAGTCTTATTACTTTCCTATCATTGGAAAGACTTGACTATGTATGAAAAAATAGGGCAATGAGACAAAATACAATACCTTCTGGATGTGTTTCTCCCAAATGTTCAAATAATGGTCCTGAGAACAGAGTTCTGAAATAGCTCACAATCCAAACATTTCCTGAAAATTAAAAGAAATATGTGTTACTCCAAATACATCTTATCTCCAAGAATTGATAGCATGTTTTAAAATGGGATTTTAAAATAAATCATCTCAACAACATAACAAGAAAGATGTATTACAAGGTAAATTCTCATACATGTTCTCTCCTTGAGCATACCTCTTAACCATATCAATGAAACAACATATATTAGAGAATTATTTACAAAAGTACAGTACTTCTCTGTCTTTACATTAGTGTAAAGACTGTCACCTATTCTCAATAACCTGAGAAGTTAATATCAAGGATGAAGAAGAATTTCAATTATGGATTCTGGGAGAAAGAATATTATGATTATATGATAGTCATCCTAGAGTTTGAAACAACTCATTTCTTCCTCTGAACCAGTAGGAACAAACAAAACAAAAAAACTGTTAAACTCAATATTAGAACTATCCTTGATACAGAAAGATACTGACACATCAGAAAGTTTACACTTTTATCAAAAAAGTGTGCATGAAAGATTTTGGGCAGCAAGACACATAGCCTACACTTAAATTCTGTGGCTGAAGAAACTTTAAATTGATCAATAGGCCAATGAACAGCAAAGCTAGCTGGTGTTAAAAGAAGGGGTGATACAGATTCCCCAATTCTACCTGCGTACATTCCCCTGTACACCTATGTGGTTTACACAGCTAAGACTCTTCAGGGCCTTTCAATCTCCTTAAAACCATATACAGACACCAAATTTCTTAGTGTGATGTTTCCCCATCATCCTAGCCAAACAGGCTCTTCAACTACTGTTCCTCGAGGTTGTTTTCCCTATATCATGCTTATTGTTTTACTAACTGTGACTGTGAGCATTCATTTTTCTTTGATTCCCCCAATATGTACCATGAGCATGTCACTGATGCTCACTGAATGTGTGATAAATGAATCATCTTAAAGCCTTGGTCAATTAATGTAACATGCTTAAATAGTAATACCAAAAAGGAAAGGAAGTGGTTACATAGACCAACTACAATGAACAGTATTTGTCTTTTAATTACTTCATAGCTACACATTCACACTTACACACTCTCAGTTTTTCATCAGTAAAATACTTGTAGTACCTATGTTGGTGCTCTCCCAACCTCCACAGTCAGCCAGCCTGACCATGTGACAGGTTCTCCTTTCTGCCAAGTAATTTGCGACTCTAATTCCCAGTGTCTTGAGGACCAGCAGCAACTGGCAAGGTAAATATACACTAACACAAATCCTCTAAGTACATACATCAGCAACACCAAAGCTATCTTCCATCAGCAGCAGGAAATTTCACTTGTATGTGTAAGTCAAAAATACCTAGAATCATAACTAACAGCAAAATGTACCCAAAATCTTAAGGAAGTAGACAGACTACCTCTCCTTTAAACACAGAGATTATTGTCAGAAAGAAAAAAATAAAATAAAACTCCCTGAGGTCTACAGATGATAGGGGTGGGGGAAAAGAGCATTACTTTTTTCTATTAGGATACTACTTTTTCAGCAGCTACATAAAACATTACCAAATCTTTTTAGGTAATAAAATTTAACCTTATTTTGACCTTCCTCATAAAGCAAACAAACCTCTCCATCCAATAAGGTTCCATTTGAACTATGTAAGATGATCAGCAATACCTTAATTGCATTCATTTACATGACTCTGAAACTATTCTGGGCTGAAGTCACTGACTGCAAGGTCACAGAATACAAAAAAAGCAGGATGTTCACAATTTGCTGAGGAGAAATGATCCACTTAAAACACTATGGAAGTACCGTCTCTATCCTTTATTGGGAATTATTAACTGCTTAATGCAATCAACAGGTACAGACATCTTTACTTGAAACACATCACACACATACATACACATTCACTGATTTTATAAATATAAGAATATATATTTGAAAAATTCATCATATTATCACTTTCTTATTAAAATTAATCTGCCTAAATGGAGTCAAAGAATAACTCTATACCCTAGCAGCATTTAAAATCAAGACACAAAATAGGGCTATTATTTTTTCACTTGTTTCATGAAAATTTCTAAACACTAAATAAAATTCATGGCACAAAGCCATAGTTTTAGGAAAACAATTGCAAGCATAGGATGTTCAGTATATTGAGTTTCCATTTTCATTTTTTATGACCTAAACAAGCACATATGTTCAACTAACTTGTTTGGAGAAACATACTTTACATGTCTCAAAACCAGTAATACCACATTCTTAATGAAAGAAAAGAAATACAGTATAATGCAGAAATTAACTACCATAAATTAGACAGGATGAGGTATATTCTTCAAAAATCTCAAAATATATCAAAAGAAATTAACCCTATAAACAGTTGCCTTTAGTGAAATGGGATTCTAACACAAAATAAGTATTAATGGCATTTGAATTTAGTGAAGAAAAAAGAAAGAAACCAATAGGAGCTAAGGTACTTTATAAATGTTTATAATACTAGCACAAGTATGGAGCATGAAGCATTTGTTTTAGATTTAATACAACATCACAAGGACATTCGTTTAAGAAGCTTCTGTCCCTTAAATTAGGTGCATCTTCCACATTTAATTACCACCCCCCGCACTTTTATATTACTCAAGCCAATTTTTGCAATTTAAAACTAACTTAGGGAAAGAGAAGCAGTGATACTAGAAAATGTGTACTTCTTCACCTTTTCTCCTTACAAAGAACAAGACCCAAGTAGTTTCAACTCATGCTTTTCCACAAAGAACACAAGGATGAATACATATTTAAGTACTATCTTCCTAAACAAACTCCAATATCATGATTTCACTTTGTCCTTTTAAAACAAGAAATGCAATCTCTTAATTTCTATCTATAAATCAAGTCAATTCATTTTGGGTGCGTTTAGTTTTAAAATAAACGCAGACACAGTTAATATTAATTACTGTCACTATCTACACATAAACTTCAGTGACCACATCTTTAGGTATTTTAATTTTCTTCTTCCTTTTGTTTGTTTTCCAGAACTAGGGTTTGAACTCAGGGCCTGGCTCAGCAGGTACTCTACCATTTGAGCCATGGTCTTACCCCCTCTTTCCATAAGAAGCAATTCAAGGTCAGACAAGAAATGTATGTAAGAAGAAATTCCTAGTTCATCCTCTTTGACAAGGATAGGAGCACGTGACCAATCAGAAGATTCCAGTGTTGTTTCCAATGCTCTGATTTACATTCCCACTTGAAATGAGGTCTCAGATTGAAGAAAATCCCCTGATAAAGACAGCTTTTTATTTCTCTCACACTTTTCTCTGCCCATTCTGGAGACTGAGTGCTTTAGATTCTTAAGTTCATTGATTATGATGACAATATCTGAAGTTCCACTTCATCCACATAAAAACAAGATTTTCCTTTTCTTGGATATTAGAAGTTGTGGAAGGCAGTTTTTATAATCACAACCTATTGTGTATCTTTGAATAGGCTACAATCTTGAACTGAAAAAGAATTATATTAATGATCTCATTCTTACAGCCTTCAATAAAGAAATAAGTGCAAGTTTAGGTTCAGACACATTTCAATCTTCAGGTAACTACAGAAAACCCCACCGACAAAACAAGTATGCTGTGTGTACATGGTTTACAGGTTTTACTTTCTGTATAGCATGATATTTCAACATGTTAAAGACCTTTCTGACTTAACAACTGCTTGCTTTGGGGGCTAGTCAACTGGTAAGAGACTGCGAAGGGCTCAGCCCTGACAGGCTTTTGATAGTCAAACTAACAAATTCAGACCAAGCCCTTTCCATCTGGCCCCCACATACCAGGAAGCAAATTCCTGGGCCTTCACATCATCCAAGCAAACTAGTGATTGCCCCATCTCTATATAGAGTTTATACTCCTATAGCTTATTCAAAACTACCACTATTATTATATGTCTGTGGCTTATTATTATCCACCTATAGTTCATTAAAAGTAGCCATTCCTAAATGTTCCCGTCTTCCTTGCCTTTCAGGTAGAAACTCCAAATAAAAGGTTATAGCCTAGGCTCTTCCCTAGCTGTTTGTGCCCCTTGGCCTACCTGACCAATGCCAGTATTTTCCTATTTGCCCTGCATAGCATGTCATGCCTCCTAGGACATGTGAGTCTAATCAACTTTGTTTCCCTGAGCTCTGTCTCTCTTCTGTGACTGCACCTGACTAAGTACATAAAAGAACACAGAACTGTGTTTGTGCACACACCTGTGTGTGCCTTTCTTCACTTCTTTTGTTTTCCCTTTATCCTTCCATAGTAGGTCAAAATGAAAAAAAGACCACTTTAATATATATATATGTGTGTGTGTGTGTATATATACACACACACACAAACACACATATATATGTAAAATCATACAGAAATAAATGATCCGGCTGCTTGGAAAAGAGGTCCCAAATAAAGAAACCTACCAGATCTGTATGCAAAATTAAATCTTGGACTGACAAGGCTGCTCAGATAGCATAAAAGAACAATGTAACTCAACCTAAGGAACAGCTCAAAAACACTTCATAAAGTCTGAAACACCTGCTATACAATACATGAATGCACAATTGCATCTAGGAAATATTTTTCTTCCTCCCTCACCTGTTCCCCCACCCATTTTGCATACAACTCCATAAACAGCAGTTATCCCCCATTATAAAACAGTTGACGGTTAAAACAATGAGCCAACCAAGAAAGTCCAATATTCTCTAACTGACATTTACTGCCATTGGCCTTGGACTTCTAATCTTTACCAGACGGGCACACAAATCAATCCATCAGCTCATAAAGGTGTGCTTTTTTAACCTCTAAAACAGATGGGATTGGCCAGAAGTGTCTGGCATGTCAAACTGCTAATCACTGCTGCCCTTTGCACAAAATAACCCACTTAAGTTGAGGCATGGTTGCACTGTAACCGACATTAGTCTGTGGGAAACCCATTTAACTGTCACACACTCCTGCCACTCCTGCTCTCCCTTAATTAAGCCTAATGCCTTATGCTTTGACCTTTTGTTCTAGCCTATTAA